AAACAGCGTGTGGTGTCCTGACTGTTATAGTTTCTAATCGCAAGAAAACCTTTTGCACATACCATAGTAAGGACCATTCGAGAGGTTTTCCCAGCCAAACATGGTAATTCCCACTGGGTGTTCGAAAGAACCGTTTATAAACGAAATCGGTGAACCGTCTTCCCATGTACCTTGTTCGGTCAGTCCAAGAAAATGCTTGAATGAATCTCCGTATTTTCCTTAAAATCTACGTCAAATATAATAGTATTAACCGGCTATGTTCCAATTTTGTCGTGTAGGTAAAAGAAGCTTTCTAAAAAATTTGATATATACTGGAAACTGTTTGCATTTCTAACGAATGATTCGCTAAAAGTTCCTTGTTTCGATAAAGTATTTGAAATAAAAAAATTTCGGTGCATATAGCTACTATTACTTTCCAAAATGTTTTACGTTTTTTAGAATTATTTCAGTTTTAATCTACTTTCGAACAATTTAATAACTTCGAAGACTGTTTTAGAAGAAGCTTGGAAAAACAAACTTGTCAAGAATGTCGTTAAAAAATCGTTTTCTTTCTTAGACAGAACCGAGGTAACATGCATCCCATGTTGCTGACATATCTTTGAAATTTCTGAGTAGTTTAAGTTTTTCTCTACCTACAAATATTTTCTTAGTTCCTGCACAGTGAAAATAGGATAAAGCGGATAAGGTCTAATGAACAAATTCTTATTTTGAAATGTAAGAACTGAGCTTTCATAAAATTCTTTGAATGGTCGAGTCAGTTGAATGTCAATACGAGTTCTGTATAGCATTAAGTTCCAAAGGACGTATTTTTTTAAGATTTGGATTTTTTAATAACCTTTACATTTTGGTTTCTTTATGTCTTAAAAAAGTTTTGTGACAGTCAACATGAAACGCACTTCGAAATAACAAGCGGGAATCTCTGGTGCACTTATATGAGGATGAGAACAGTTTGTAGCCTGCTGCTTAACTGCAAAGAAGCGCTACAGTTATATCTCATAAACTTTCT